TGTGTGTGTGAGAGAGTTTCTTCTTAAGTTAGTACTTCTTTTTTCCTTGGAACAGATGGTGCAATTATCATTCTCTCCAATAGCTACTTCTGAATAAAGAAATGTTTCTTTGTTTTGTATTTTAATCCCCCAACTGGCTTGCCTACTTTTGAGTAAGCATAACCTTTTGCAAACCAGTACAGTAATGAAATCTAAGAAATAGCTTGGAGGAGAGGGGATGTGGAGGTCACGCCCAATGAAACACAAATTGTAAATTCTACTTAAAATGATTCAGACTGCAAACCAATGTTCAGCAGTCTCTATCTTGTTGGCTTTAGTTCAATCCACTTTGCTTACAGCCTCATCTATTTCTGGATATGGTCCTCAAGTTCATTTCAGACTTTGAATTCAGTCCTAAGGCCACATTGAGTCCCCACCCATCCTAATCTTCAGTACAATGATTTTGTGAGGTAGGGGGTATGGACAGAAGGTGCCAAGTGTGTTGGGCCAATCCTAAGATCTCATTTCTCACAAAAGAATGTCCTACACAGTTGGAAGTACTGCTTCTGGATCTGACATGGAAGGTGGCTGAAAAATTATACCAATTTAATCTGTAAAATGAAAGCAAAAATGTCAACTCAGCCAGTTTCCCACTCAATAAAACTTTATTTGTATACTGCTCAATCTTCCCGAGCGGACTAAGGGCAGTTTCCAACGTAGGGCAAAGCATTCAGTTACCGACACAAAATCATACAAAATAACCATTATAAAACATAAACATATACTATTAAAACAACCACACACATTTAAGAGCCAGTACCAATAATATTCCATTGGGCAATATTCAAACTACTAATGGCCAAAATTCCAAATTTGACCTAGACAGCTATGAGAGGGCTGGGCCAGGGTTAGTGCAATGAAGTAACATAGGGCCGGGAAGTGGATAAAGTGCAGAGCAAGGTCGTATCTGATAGCCAGGGTAGGGCCTAGGGCTAATCATTCTCAAAAGCCTGCTGGAACCACCGGGTTTTCGGAAGGAAGATAGTGACGGGGCTTGTCTTATCTTTCTAGGGATGGTGTTCCAAAGGCAGGGGGGCACCACCGAGAAGACCCTCTCCCTCTTCCCCACCAACCGTAATTGGAACGGTTGTGGGAGTGAGAGGAGAGCCTTCCCAGCAAACCTAAGAGCCCGCGCCGGTTCATAGGGGTAGATGCGATTGCGGAGATAGGTGGGGCCTGAACTGTCCAGACTCAAACATTTTATACCCACCCTTGCAGGATCCTGTTCTCTTTTCGGGGAGCTTGCGCATGAACTTGGACCCATTTGACCAGCACTCAGACCAAGATGTCTGGTATGCATTGGAGCTGGCACACTTGAAGAATTTTGTGATCAGCCTGCCAGAAGGATTGTCTTACCCAGTGAGCGAAGCAGGAGAGAACCTGAGGTACAGGAGGGTAATACTGGGGTGCTAAGATATTCATATTTTCTTACTTATACAGGCTGTTTTCTACAACATCTTTCTCAACCCATCATAGCCTGGCTTAAGTGAAATGTGCTTTGAATGCAATTTTCCTGCTTCTTGGTAGGGGGTTGGACTGGATGGCCTGCAAGGTCTCTTCCAACTCTATGATTCTAAAGCATTAGTTATTTAGAGATTAGTTCCAATCTTCTACCTGCTATGGGCTGGGTCCATGTAGCTGGTAAAAACAGTGACCTCACAACCTCTGAGGATGCCTGCCATAGATGCAGGTGAAGCATCAGGAGATAATGCTTCTAGAACATGGCCACGCAGCCTGAAAAACCTACAACCCAGTGATTCCGGCCATAAACGCCTTTGACAATACAGTGGCCATTTTGTTTCCACAGTGTGGGGCAGAGACAACTGTTGTGTTTGGCACGCGCCCTCCTCCGTAAATCCAAAATCTTAATTCTGGATGAGGCCACAGCAGCTGTGGATATGGAGACTGATCATTTAATCCAACAGACAATCCGGAGTGAGTTTGTTGACTGCACAGTGATCACCATTGCCCATCGGCTGCACACCATCATGGATAGCAACAGGTAAAATGTGTGGGTGTTCCCGTATGAATGAAAAAGATACATGGCAGCATCACAGGTGGAATTCTCTCACCTTCTGCAATAGAGGTTTCAGGGCTTCAGGCCCCATAAAAACAGAAACTGCAAAAGTGCCTCCTACCTACAGTGGAGCAATCATAGGCACTTATTCCTACCATGGAGCAGTATGGAATATGTCCATATTAAGTAATTATGCCATTAAATCTGAAACTTCCTTGGAATGTTTTTTTAATAGAGAAATAAATGTATACAGTTAAGCAGCACAGATATATATGTTCACAATCTCTAGAAAATAAATGGCATGCTTGCTAAGTGTGATAACATAAAACTGTTTGAAATTAGCAAGAGAAATCTGGTTCAGCTCTGGGAAACTGAACCCACCACATTGCTTTTAGCTACAAATAAACAACAAAAAGCACAATGGATTTCTGTAAGCCTTTTAACTGTATTTGGCACAAAAGACAACATTGTAAACTGCTACAAAAAGAAATCTGGAAAGGAAACTCTGACCTCATTCAATCTGTTTTATAGTAACCAAGTTGCCAAGAACTGGAATATAGCAAAACAGGCAAAGAGCTACATTAGCCCAACCTTTTGGCATAATCACAGGGCCTGTGCGTCCCACTCAGCAGTAGGACCATAGGACCAAAAAACAAGCAAACACCCCCCCCCTCCAAATAAAACAAAACCTAGTGGTATGTGGATAAGTTGGAAGTATTAGCAGTTGGATCTCATACCTAAAATCTTCAATGCACCAATCAGCCAATGACTCCCAATAAATAAGCAATGAATTGATAAATGAAAGAATACAATCTATACACAAACATCTATGGCATTGCATTTTGGTGGTGACCGTGAACTCCCCTAATAATTTACTTAGATTGATCTGCTATCTTTCCTCTCCTTCCTGTGCTACAATTTCAGAATTAGAGGAATTAAGCTTTGTATAAAAGAAAAAGGGGGGCAAAGGACTTTTTTTTCAATTTCAATACACCTGAAGCAAACTGGTGAACACTGCCATTGAAGGGCAAAAATCTTGGAGAGAGGGAACGTGCCTCAAACTGGCAAAAGGTCCCCTTCCCTTCACACTATGAGTTTAGGCCAACTGCATTGGTACACAGAAGGAAATAGACTTTGAGTAGCCCAATCAGCATTTCTTCTACAAAAAGCTCCAGCATCCCTCTTTTCAATAACCCACCAAAAATAAATGAGTGGCTTACGTACTCTCAAAATATCTTAGGTATGCAAAGGCATGTATCTTGGTAAATTGCGTTATTTTGTAGATATATCAAATGCTGACTGAACTGGAAGATATGTGGATCGTGTGTACAAATGCATATTGGTGCAAGTGCTACAGCTCAGTCTTCTCTTTCTCTTTCTTATTTAGGGTGATGGTACTTCAAGCAGGAAAAATTGTAGAGTTTGACAGCCCTGAGGAGCTTCTTCAACAGCAAGGCGTCTTTGCAGGGATGGCAAGGGATGCTGGCATTTTGGGAAGTCAGAACACTGCCCTATAGAGAGTGTGGGCCCAAGGCCACAACATGAGGAGTTTTTATATTGCACAGATCTTGTTGCAGGTGTTCTGGACCCGCCTTGATTCCGAGTGACAATTCTGAAATTGTATTGGCAGTGCCACTACATTTGGAACATCTTCAGAGATCATTCTGTGGCATGCTGTAGCTGCCGTATTATTGACTTGGTCATGAACTTGCAGATGACAAGTAAACCCTGCTTCTTTGGAAAGTGTGCTTTTACCACCACTCCTTCCTCTCAGTGCTACCAAGGATTATTTAGAGATCAGTCTGTTGCATTTCTCTTGTTTCAGGAGTGAAATCATGTTCCTAAATCTGTGATGGTCTTTAAAATTCTCCATGCCACAAAGAATGATGAAAAAAACAGACTGGTTGTATATCTTTACTGTTCTGTTTACTCTTCCAGGCTCAGAGGTCTTTGGGAATATGTAAAGTCTTAGCTTAGGGGGAACATGCTTTGTATGCAGAAGGTTCCAGATATAATCCCTATCACTGGATTTGAAATAATCCTATCCGAAACCTTTCATGCTGCTGGCAGTCAATTGACTATAGTGGACTAGGGGAACCAACAGCCTGAATCAGTACAAGATAACTTTCTCTGTTCCTAATAAAAGGTAGGAACAAGTGCCTCTATGTGGATTTTCCCGATTGTATTCTTGCAGCTCATTTGGAGGAAATGGGATGCAGAGTCACAGCTCAAGTGCTATTTCTGTGCAATGACAACTGGAATGGCTCTGGATTACAATCTTGAGTAGTGTGATTTTAATAATTGATGTAATTATTTACACGTTTAATTCTTTGGTTTTTAACGTATATGTTTATTTCATTGTATGTTGTTTTTATGACATTGAATTGTTGCTGATGTGTAAGGCCGCTCTGAGTCCCCCTCAGGGTTGAGAAGGGTGGGGTACAGATGTGGTAAATAAATAAGTGCTACACTACAACTTGGAAAATGCTATAAAAGAGCTGATAATAAATATTTGGAGCATCCTTGTCTGAAATATTTGGAGTGTCTTTTGTGTGATTATTGTAACATATTTAAGACTTTTCAACAGAATGTTGAACTTGGTCTAGATTTACCTCTATCACTACTGGCTCCTCTCTCAGTGTCTGGGGATGATGAGGATTGAAGTCCAACGCACAAGAAAATCTGCTATTGAGTATTCTTCAGCTTCTCCAAGTAAATTTGCAGTCTGAAACCAAGGAGTACTTGTCCCAAATCATGAAATGTAGTTCATTCTTAAGGGATTTTTTACTCTTCTAAGAACAAGTTTCCTTTAGTTTTGTTATCAATTCGAGTTAGTATGTGTTTTATTTTCAAATGTGTAACTGGCAGCATCTTTGTTGATGTTTTCCAAGTTGGGGAACCTACTTATGTCAACAGGAAAGAGATAATGCACCAACATAAAATATTTCAGAAAGAGAATTTTATTTACAAAACAGCAGCTCAGAAGTATTAGACAAAATGCACCACTTTCACTGTGTAGGGTCCTTTCCACCAAATACAGGAATTCACTCCACCCCTGCCAATTCTAACTGGTGCCCAGAGGTTGGAGCAATCCCAGCAGTTTACAGTCACACAATGACACTGCAGCATCCGAGGGCTATAATTGATTGACAGCATCAGAAAAACATTGCTGCAGGGGCTGACCACCAGGATTGGGAGGACAAGAGCTGAATTTCAGGCCTAACTGAAAGTGAACCTTTTGTTAACTGCAGAGGAAGGGAATTCAACATCTCTTCCATGCAAGGGCCAAAATCCCTGCTGGACTCATCTTACTCATACACACCCCAAGAGGCATTAGATGTCTGATGGAGAACAGGGAGACATCAGAGAAGTGTCTGGCTATGTGCCTATAGCTAAACACAGGGAAAAGACTCCTTCACAAACTCAGATTCTCCTGGATGGCGATATTGCCATGGTGCACTCAACTATAAACACATAGCCAGATGTTTCTCCAATGCCCTCTGGTTTTCACCAGCTACTAAACAACTGTAAGTGAAGTCTTTATGGTAGAGAGAGGGAAAATGTATCATACTTTGCAATAAGTTTCCTTATGCAGGATCTCTATCTCCAACTGCTTGGAAGCCAGCAGGGCAATTGGGGGGGGGGGGCTGATTTAATAGACCAATATGCTGGCATAAGACACCAGCAGGATTCCAGTCCAGTTTATTTACCCTGCTTAGCCAACACTACAGAATCTAATGGCGTCTGAATAGTGGTGCTCTGAATATATCCTCTTTGGTGGCCAGTATGCAGCAGTTTTGTACGCGATATAAATCTATCCTTCAGAGAAGAGCCTTTCAATCTGTTTTTCTGTCTTCTGCTATATTGGTCCAGCCATGCTTTAATGAAGGCCAAATTGGTCAATAGCTATTATGATTGTTAAGTGGAACCTGTAGGTTCAGCAGAGAGCTTATAGATCTTTTTTGGGGGAGATGACAACTTCCAGAATCCTCCAACATGCTCCAATCCTAGATTATGATAAAGGCACTTTTACAAGCTTTGCTTCAGAGACAGTGTTCCTTTCAATATCAGTTGCTGGGGAGTGAAGGGCAGGGGAAGTTCATTGTTTTTATGGACGGCTGGTGGGCTGGCTTTTCTGGGGGAACAAAATACTGACATGGATGGATCCTCCACCTGAACCAGTAGGGCTCTTGTTAGGTTCTGAATTAATGCCTATCACACACAGGGCTCTTGGCTTGCAATTAACCAGATGCCTCCTTGCTTCATCATCTCCAGCCAGACTGCACCCTTGCTAGTCAAAGAGGACTAAAGTCCTTCCCATGAAGGAATGAACTTAACCAGGACTGCTGAAGGGAAGAGAAGGCTGCTGCTCAGGCCTGGTAGTTCTGCCTTGTAAGGTGAAAGGTAAAACAATAAAAGGCCAATGAGAACACCTCATTTCATAATCATAGGAAATGTCACTCCCCACTAATGATATCCAAATCTAAACCACCAGGGAAGGACAAGTGGACTGAGCAAGGCCTTCTTCTGTCCAGTTCCAAATGTGATTAAGGCACCAGATTCCGACACTGCGCTGGAGACATCTCACGTGTACTCTGTCTTCCGAATGTAGCTTGATGGCACATAGCCCCGCTTTCCATGCACTTCTGCCAACCACCACTCCTGATTGCCAGTGATGTCTTCAAATTGCAGAATCTTTAGTCTCTGATTGGCTATTACACTCAGTTCATTTGAATTACGTCCCTTAAAGGTGTAAAGAGCATAATAAATCTGGTAACAAAAAGGATGGAAGGCAAGTAAGTATCAGTGAAGAAAGACTTCAAATCCCACCCTGCATCAACCATAGGCCCTAAAGACTAGGTCTCAGGTTTTTGTGGTCAATGTTGTTGTCGGGAATATGTTTACAATTGGCACAGCAAGTTTATGTATCTTATGTATCACAAAATGGAATTTGGTGCTACTAAGAACAAAGAGAAAACAAGTACACATAAAATGTAACTTGGAAAAAAAAATAAATGTATCAACAAGAGAGAGAAAAACAGCATCTACTGAGATGAAAAACAGTTTCTACAGGTTAACTGTCCCAGGCCTGCCTGAATAAAAGGCTCTGGCCTGTCAGCAGAAAAATAAAAGAGATTGATCCAACATTTATTCTGATTATGGTAATTTGATGGAACAGAATTGAACGTGAATTTCCCAAATATTCAATTTCAACCTTGGCTGTATCAACCAGCCAGCAAACATTCACAGAGAAACTAAGGGCAAATCTACACTCACCACCTAAATCAGTTTCAAATGAATATTGAAAAAAAGTGTTTTTGCTGTGCAGATGATGACATAGCAAATCCTGCAACCAGTTTGGGGCCCAGATAGTGATTACACAAACCACAGAGCACTGATGTGCATTAAGAGTTTCTTTAGTGCACTTCTGTGGGCTTTGGAGTCCAGTTGCAGCAGTGTGAATCTAACTCTGAACTGCATTAAATGGTCAGTGTAGATATGGCCTGAGAGGTGTTACATCCATCCCTGCTCACCTGGTTTCCTTTACATTCACTGCTCTTCATCCCAGAGTTGCTGTCCTCCAATGATGGTGCCTCTCTAGCCTTGGGTCGAGGTGGGTGTCCATTGCGAGGGTCAGGGTTGTTGTAGCGCCGTGAGGCTGGAACAAGGCGGGGAGGCTGCGCCAACCCCCCTGTAGGGCCCACCTGGGCCTGGCAGGTAGCATCCACCTCAGAAGGAGTCTGTGGTGAATGGAGGAGGTCCCCTTGGAAGCCAGAGTCTGGTGAAGTCTTCTGTGGGCTACTCACAGAAGCATTACTCAGTGTGCTGCCCAGGATGCTGCTGCCACGGGAGGAAGATGAGCCACTGTGTTCAGATTCACTGGAGGAATGGCTGCCTACAGAGGCATCTGAATGGCTACATCGCGGATTGTAAGGCTTCAAGAAGGAGCTGTACACAAACCCTTTCGTCACTGTGAAGTGAGGAGAGAGAAATACCATACTATTATCTTGGAGATGGCAACAAGTCCCAGATAAGATGTCAGAATGTGAAAATGTTAAGTTTGTCTTGGGCCACAGCTCTCAGAATCCCTCCCAGTATTTTAAAAGCCCTAACTTTTCCCAGCTCTGAAAGAAGCAGGTCACTGGGGACCACTTACCTCCATTATCAATAAGCCAGCGGTTCTGACTGCCCATAGGGTCTTTCTTCTTGAGGACGCCCACGAGGTCTCCTTCCAGGAGAGATACATCCAGATCTTGTGCTGCATTGAAGTTGCGCTCAGCCTGGAAGAGCTTGTCAGGGGGGTATCGAGCTAGCAGGGCTGTGCGTAAGTCATCCGACTGCAGCATGTAGCTGGGCTAAAAGGGAAACAATGGCACTGTTGAAGAGGCAGGGAGCCCTGGGGTATCCACCCACCCCTCTTTGCTCTGGCTACTTTTACCATCCTTATTTATCAGGCAGCCAATGCTATAATAATAATAATAATAATAATAGTAATAATAATAATAATAATTTATTTGTACCCTGCTACCATCTCCCCAAGGGACTCGGTGCGGCTTACATGAGGCCAAGCCCACAGCACATCAATAAACAAAAGCAATAACAATAATCAATACAAAACAGTTAAAATAACTCAAAAACAGAAAATACACAATAAGCAATAGACAATAACAATATCAAACATACAGCATTTAAAAACCTCTTCACACCCAAAGGTTGCAAACACTATGGTTTCTAGGTTGCTGTGAGTTTTCTGGGCTGTATGGCCATGTTCCAGAAGCATTCTCTCCTGACAAGAGTTCTTTCTTCCACCCTGGACATTCCAGAGATATATAAACCTCACTTGCTTCTGGAACATGGCCATACAGCCCAGAAATCTCACAGCTATCCAGTGATTCTGGCCATGAAAGCCTTCGGCAAGACATAATGTTTCTACTACCACAATCCCCCAGACAGAATGGACAACCTGTGGGCTGGGAATTCCAGGGACTGTAATCCAAAAAGGAGCATGTGCCTAAACTCCGAGCCAGGAGATTTGCTCCACTTCCACCTGCAGAGGACAGTTCTCTATTTGTGGTTTGCCCCCATGGTGCTCACCATGCCCAGAAGCGGCTGCCTTCGTGCTGACTGGCGCTCTAAGCTCTTCCTCTCAAAGGGCTTCTTGGCTGCAGGAGTGCTCTCTGGGAAGAAAGTGAAGACTTGTAGCTGCTGAAGGACACGGCTGTGCTCTTCCTGGAAGACGGCAACCAGATTTCCCTCTCTGCCAACCACTTTCAGCAGCTAGGACAGAATAAAGCCATGTGATCAAAGGAGCAGAAAAATAATGGGGCCAACACAGGATCATCTCAGCCATGTTCTACTCAAAAATGAGCCAGTAAGAAGCTGTACACCATAGATTACAAGGATGGAAACATATGACTCAGCAGCTATTGTTGGCTAGTGCTGATGACAGCTGCTATCCATTAACATCTGAAGGGCTATCTATTCCTCTAGGACAGTAGTTCTCAACCTGTGAGTCCCCAGATGTTTTGACCTTCAATTCCCAGAAATCCTAACAGCTGGTAAACTGGCTGGGATTTCTGGGAGTTGTAGGCCAAAACACCTGGGGACCCACAGGTTGAGAACTACTGCTCTAGGAAAAATCCAGGAATGGCTGTAGAGCCCAGCATCAGACCACTTGCCCTCTCTTTCACATTCAAGGGAAATTCAGTGTTAGCAATCATGTCCTAAATCAGAGCTGAAAAACTCTTAGACTTCCAAATGTTTTGAATCTAAATTCCCCAAAATTTCAACCGGAAATGGCAAAAAATTATGGAACCTGTATTTCAAAACATCTGAAGAACCAAAGGCTCCCCAACCTTGTTATAAATCTAACTCTTTTTACCATTCAGCCTTTTATTTCAGAGGACTGGTAGCTCAAGGCAGAGCAAACATTTTGCGTTTAAAAAAATACTGTCCTCAGTACTGCCTAAAATTGCAGCGTGCTGCTAACAGGGTGTGAAACTGTAGTCCTCCCATGTTATTTTTTTGGACTGTAACTCCCCTAATCCTTCACCAGCAGTCCAGCTACCTATAGCTGATGGGAGCTATAGGCAATAAACATCAGGAAAGCCACAGTTGCCCACCTCTGGAGTAGGGAATGGACCAGAAGAAGGGATGTCATGGCAAAGCCCAAAGAAAAGGAACAACATATCTGAAAGCTCAATGAACGTTCAAATAGAATTGGCTCCATCTAACATAGGGTGGGAAATTTGTGGCCCACCAGCTGTGGAATGAAATCATCCCTTATCACTGGCTGTACTGGTTGGGACTGTTGGGAGTTAATGCTCCAACTACCTTTGAAAGGAAAGCCACCCGAGTTAGGATGTACACCTTCCTCCCTACTGCAGACAAGATGTGAATTCTTTAAAAATAAGAATAAAGCATTCCTTTTGCCTCTTATTTGTCATGAGAAACACCAATCTTGCTAGATTCTGGTCCTGATCTCTGGACACTTACTGAGAGAAGAGGTTTCATTTCCTGCAAGGCGAGGCGCACAAAGTCACAGTGGGCCTCCGCATAGCCACGCAAGCAGCTGGTGAAAAGTTCCTTGGCACAGCACTGGAATTTGGGCAGTTCGTCCAGCAGCTGAGTGTTCAAGGCTTCATAATTGTTGCGTGCTGACTGCAAATCTTCCAAGGTCCGCTTGTCCTTCAATCTCTCAGCACGCTCCGTGCAAGTGTGGAAGTCCAAGAGCTTGTCAAAACGCTTCTGCACAAGTTTGTGAGGCCCAGCAAACATGTTCAACAGCTGGCTGAGTGGCGAGATCACCAGCCGCTCCGTTCGCTCTTTCTACAAGGTTCAGGGTGACAATCAGATCACTTTAATACAACTCCTCCCTACTGCCTGTGGCAATATCTTGAATTATTAATTTCTCAAGTTGCATTGGAGAAAAAGGAATGCATACAAATAATTTACCATCTCCCTGCTGAAAATTACTTTTACGCACACACAAAGGAGTGTGTATGAAAACATTCACCACTGCCTTGCCTGTCTTTTGAGAGAGTTTTTCTTGTCATCCCTCTCTGTCCCAATTTCCTATTCACTCTGGCTGAGATCCTACAATGTGGATTGCGTAGCATAACACCTATGTTTTTATTGAGGTAGGTAACCTTAATAATTATTGAATGACAATGTTATGCAATAAATGTGAAAGACAAGGAATGCTTCTGTTAATTTCATCGGGGCGGGTACACATGCATTGGTCCAGAGTATGTATGTGCAATGGCATTACACGCACAGCTCCATTTCCATGTCCTTGAATTAAGTGTCGATGTTGAGTACTGAATTAAATTGCCTAAGTGCTTTTATAGAAGAACATATGCATGTGGAGGACTCTAACAGAATTCTAGCTAAGATCTCTCCTACTAGCAGATTCTTCTTTCCAGCCTTTTTCCTCCTCCTTTTCACTTTCATTTTCACCAATGCCTTTAATAATAATAATAATAATAATAATAATAATAATAATAATAATAATTTATTTATACCCCACCCCCTCTCCCCAAAGGGACTCAGGGCAGCTTACAACAATCAAAAGATACAGAAAATAATATAGACAATAGACAACAGACGACAATAATACAATTAAAATAATGTAATAATTTAAACATTAATAAATAACACAATAAAATATGTTTTACTCCAACCTCCCTTTAATTGGTGCCTGCCACATATTCCTGACCACAGTTTCTATCAGCCCTAACTCAGTGAAATGGCCAACGACACAAGGGAATTTAGTATAAAACATTTGGAGACCCTTAATGTTTGGAAAGATTGGTTGGTCTCTTCCAACAAAAGTATTTTATTCTTTAATTTCTTTCTACATAAGATAAAAAGGGATGCAAAGACCTCACTTACAAAATCAGAGAAGAGCTGATCACTGATAAGGCGATGGACCTTCTGAAACTGCTCCAACTCAGCACTGCCTTTCTCCATGCAAAGGTCCCACATACTGAGTGCCGCTGTCACTTTCACAAAGGCCGATTCCTGAGGGCCAGAACACAAAAACATCAGCTGAGTAATGAGGCAATTCTGGATTTCCAACAGCCCAGCCACAACCAGCAGATAGGGTAGAAGAGGACTGGGACTGACTAAGGGACAAAAATTGCACCTTGTTAATGCACTTCTGAGTCCACATGTCAGCCCCAAAGGACAGCTTAGGACTCTAGCCATTCAGGCACTCCCCCTTCCCCCAATCACGTTTATTCACCCGAACATGCTGAAGGTAAAGGGAGAGGTCACGGATGAAGGATTTAATCAGCCGTTCCTGCATTCTAAAGTTTTTCTCTGTCTCCTCAAAAGCCTCGTCCTTGAGCTGCAACAAAAAGAAGGGAGAGAAAGAGTCAATAGGATTCACAACGCCTCCAAGCTTCCATGCCCTTGCAAATAAATCTATAATAAGGGATGTGAAACTTCCAGATGTTGTTGGGCTGAATCTCCCATAAGGAATAGTAGGGATGAGTTGCTATCCAACATTTGACAGCCATCTGAACTCCATCCGTGAGCCACAGGCACACATGGCACAGCCACCTATTACCTACCTGGGGTGCAAAACCTGTGAGATGCTTGAGGTGGCTGCTGACACGATTGGACTTTTTGATAATGGAGTGGAAGTTGAGCTTGGAGATCTTTTCAATGAGGCTGTCATCATCCGTCTTTCTGTATTTCAGCACTGAAAGAGAGTATGGTGGGAAGTAAGAATCAACACGAGGGTCAAAAAACAGCCATTTTCCATAAGATTATCTTGGGTCATTTCTTGTTCAACCTGAGAATAATCCTCTGCTAGTATTTTTTAGCATTTTCCTTGTACTAATACTAGACAAGACCAGCATTAGTGGTTGTTGCACTTCTAATGTGATATCCCACATAGGGATGCTCTTGACAGCATCACCCCTTCTCCACAGGGATTGCTTGTTTGCTTGCCTTAAACAGATGCCTGGGCTCTTCCTTCCACTTTCTTAGAGCCCATCTTTCACTGACCCACAGCTCACCCAGGTCCTTCCGGCGTTTGTACTCATTGATGTTCCCATTGATCTCCTTGACTGCCCGGACAGCAGCTGCCAAAGGAACACGATCAGGATGGGACTCAGGTGTGGCACTCAGGAGCTCCATCAGCAGCAGTGGGTAACGCATCACACGCTGAACGGGCTTGATCAAGAAGGAGCCCAGGTCAATGTAGTTGGTACAGCCCCTGAAAAAGATATGAACAAGTGAGCAAACCAGAAGAGCGCACAGCCCATGGGATTATCCCAAGTTCACCAACAGTTGAGCTTTTTTTCAGCACTCTTCCAAAGCAAACCACAGCCCAAACTCCAAACCACTTCACCAAAGTCAATTCAAAATTCTGAAGCCACCTTTTCTCTCATACAATGGTATTTCATCATTAAACAACACAGCAACAAGCACCTCACCCATCCCAAATTCAGCCACATTCCCCCACATTAATTTTCTTCCAGTCAAACTGTCAACATACTTCTCCTCACTAGTTTGTTTTAATTCTGGCACTAATAATGTCTGCAACTTTCCCTCCACTTTTGCAAGAAAGATTCCCCTCCATTCCCAATTTCCTCCTTTGTTGCCTCCCTAGATATGGACATGCACATATACCCAAACAAGCAAGCTGATGCCATTAAAAATCCCTCTTACCATTCACTGTACAGACTCCTGGCAACACAGAATAGCATGGAGAAAGAAAAAAGAAAGAAAAGGAGCTGATTAGAATCTCAGTCCATTTTAGAATGGCTTAGAATCATACCTGGAAGAAGGGTACTCATGCAGAAACAAAATCTCAAATTCTGTCCACAACAAATAAGTACACTTGGCCCCCCATATCAACAGATTCAACCACTCAAGGCTTGAAAATATTTTTAAAAGTCCAAAAGGCAAACTTTGACATTGCCATTTTATACACTTTAGTGCAGCATTTTTTATAATGGGACTTGGTCACCCAGAGATGTTGGCATCTCCAGAAGATCTAGGTACCAAAGCCTGTGGGATACCAAGGGCCCACTTTATGTTTTTTTTCAAGCTTTAAACAGTTACATTTGGGAGTATAACTCTTAAGAAAATCCCTAGGCATTGCAATATAAAACAGTAACTCTCCTAAGTACTGGGTTTTTCAGTGGGAAGCACTGGAACAAAAATCAGTTCGGGCTCATTCTGTCAGAGCCTGGCTGTGGGTGTGGGAGGAAAAAGAGTCTGGGTTCCCCTCTCACCTGAGGACCTCCAGTGATTCCAGGAGGTGCTTCTGGACCCTCTCATCTTTCTCATAAGCCTCCAACAGTGCAATGGCCTCATCATGGTTATGACAGTACACTTTGTACACAGCCTCCAGCTCAGCCCGAAGTGACAGGAAGGTTGATCCTTAGGAGGAGGCAGCAAAGTGTCAGTTCAATAAGAAAGAACAACATTGTGTACAGGACTCTTGTGACATTTTATACGATTGATTTCTTTCTCTTTAATTTCTCATTTGCTAGGAAGATTTTCATAGTGGTATGCAGTCTTTCTCATCACAGGTACACAATTTACCAACTATGGGGTGAGGAAACAAGTGTTCACAGAAGAGCCTTGTTCACAATACTGTTCCTACCAGATGCAAACACAAGGGAAACCTGCCTGACAAAAGAATTGCACTCAGGGTCGGTATTGCCTTGAAGAACCTGTACTGGATTACTTATCCCCACTGCTTTCTATGGATCCATCCCAATAATAATAATAATAATAAACATCATCATCATCATCATCAGGAAATAAGGTCTGTGTGCATTCCTGTATTTTCATTTTGTTGCCCCAAATTTCCAGAAATCTCAAAAGCCTCCCCCCCCATTAAAAAAAAAGAAAGAAAAAGGTCAGTACAATTTTGTGGCAAAACTAGAAAAGAAAGCCTTCTCGAAAATTAACAAAACCACAAGACGTACGTACCAACAGCATCAGCAGCTTCCAAAGTGTTCAGCAACTGCTTTGAGAAGGCAATGACTCCATAAATGTTCCCAAAAAGCCCCTCACAGTCTACATTTGGCACCTGGGAGGAAGCAAAGAAGTCTTAGAACAAATAAATAAATGCTTTTCTTCAAAGTCCCTTTTCAGTATTAGAGAGACCACATAACTAATCCTTATAGGAGTTGGTACATGGTGGCTTTTCCCTTTCATTCTCCAAAGATATAAAAAAGCCTTGAAGCACACCAACGAATTCTCGTGCATCTCTGACACTCCAATGCATACATAGCATTATATCACTATTGAGAGGCTGGGAACTAGAATTTGGGATCTTACCTTTTTTTTTCTATAACTCTCACAAATCCCTTAGCTAGCAGAGCTAGTGGTCATACTGGTTGGGGGCTTTTAACAGTCCCTGTCTTTTCCAACTTCTTGAAAAGAGCCCTTCCAGCCACACCTCTACAGTTTTTCTGTACTTCCATCCAATATTCCATGGAACAGCATCCATAAGCACTCCCATTTCTATGTAATATTGCATTTTATGTTACCCTTACTTAAAAAAAATACCCCAACAACAACAACAAACAGGGGAGAATCAATGCCCTTCTTTCTCCTCAAAGAAATCTTGCAGGAGAACAACAACTGGGCCAAGGTCACTCAGTAAGTTTGTAGACAAGTAGAGATTAGCAATCTGGTGTTACTCATTGCAACATACATCTAAAGAATTGGTAGGCTTAAATATACTTATGAACGATAATATTCATAATCTCCATCAGATAGGCTAGGCGATCTGATGGGAGCTGGAGTACAACAGTATCTAAAGAGACACATTCTTTTTAGTCAGGTCTATCTGTTAGACCCAAAGGCCAGAATCTCCCTAGTGATGTACACATTCTTTCTGATGCTTGCATATGCATTTTTGATTCACTGGCAGAGGCTGGTACTGTTGTAGCTCAGCAGCAGTCACAGCAGCCAAGGGCCGATGGGTTCACTAGTGACTTAAGAGTTAGAAGAGAATGTGGACTTTCCTGGGATTCATAGTGATACAGGCCAAAAGAATGAAACTGCTCCAGGTAGTGATGCAGGCCCAGAGAATATAACTGTAGATAGCCAGCTTCGTAGATCAACACGGCTTTGTAGGAAACAGAAATTTTGTGGCAGACGTTATGATTTCATGTCTGTTTATTAAGAGCCAACGTACACCCTGACTTCAGTTCAGGCAACGGAGCATTCAAGTTAGAAGCTAGGCCTGAGTTCTCTGGTTCATGTTTCAAACCTTGGCCTTGGATTGAAGTATCCTGGGAGTTTTCCATGTTTTTGTTTTGTATTCCTGTTTCGATTTTGTTAAGCATATCTTCTGCTTGTTGACTTAAGCTTTCTTTGTGTTTTGGGATTATCTCTGAACTGCGTTACCTTTGGATTTATAAGAGACAATTGATTTCCTGTTTGATTATCATCTATTGCTGACCCTTTTGGATTATACACCTTATTTCCTTATACCCGATTTTTCCATATACCTTTTGTGTGTGTGGTTTTACAATAAACTGTTTGCTTATACTCTAGACTCTTGTATGGTGCTGTGGTCATTGGTGCCTTCAGGCCTGTGGTGCAACAGGCACTCTCTTCCTCTTTTGCAATAACCATTCACTGTGTTGCTGAAATAGCCACTTCCAATAGCCATTTCGTTGTTGGTGGAGAACAGAGAAGATCAGAGTGGTGTCTGGCTACGTTCCCACAGCCAGATGTAGAGCAATGACATCATCTGGTGAGATATCAGGAAGTACTTGGCAGATCTTGTTAGAAGATACCCTTGGTCTACATTTGGCAGATCCTGGTGCTTTGCTTTCCACCAGCCACAAAATGGCTACGGTATAAGCTATTGCAGCAACGAAAAAGTGAATCCTAGAAGGAGTGATGGCGAATCATAATGGAGATCTGCATGTGGAACTCCTACACTAAAGGTGTAGGACCTCAGCCAGTGGTTCCTAATACCATCAAATTACGTATCATCTCTGGTAAAAAAAAAACATACACTCATAGAGTTCACTATCAGATGCCACAGTTCTGGTCCCAGTCTCATGTCCTTCTTACCTGTGCTTCCTGCAATGGCACTAGCACTTTCTGCACACACATCTCAAGGTCACGGATATAATCTCTTTCTGTTTGCAGCAACTCCTCAATGACTTTTGTCCTCTTTTCCAACATCCTCTGCTCCGGGTTTGGAGTTGTGGCTGCAGTAGCTGCTGACTCCAGGGATGCTGGCTGGGCAGAGAGAAGGGTCATCTCTGAAAGAGAGGCAGAGGCAATTAGAACAAGGCTTAGAGCCAGCCGTCAGTCCCGTATAAAGCAGAAGTAGATGACTGGCAGTCTCTGGGCAATCCAACATACAGATGACCAGCAGCTGACTGACGGAAAGGACCTTTTAGAATGAGCCAACATCTTCATTGCTGGCATCAAGGCAAGGAGAGACTGCCAAAAACGCGCAAACGACATCATCCACGTTTTTGGCAGCCTCTCTCTGACCCAGGTCAGACACGAAGTGGTATGGGTTGACTGTCCAGGATGAACATGTTGGCAGTAGTAAGGAAATGAAAAGGAACAGAGCTGTCCCAAGACATGTGATACTTGAGAAGGAACAGAAAATGTTACCTCATAAAAGGCAAGTGGAACTGACAGACAAGCTTGTAAAGTAAATGTGATGTAACCAGATGATTTTTCTAAGACTTGTATAAACAAATGGCTTATATGATCAAATAGGGTCACCAGTTAACCCAGTCCTCATATGGACCTGTGAAAATATACTTCATTAAACTGCTAATATTTTTTTCCATGGAGCATCACAGTTGTATCTGATGGTCCGGCTGCACCCAAAGTCTATTGAGCAGATTCACATCTATGTGTCAGAAAAGACTAATTTGCAAAAAGTAGGGAAACAACAGCAATCATAGACTCACCACTATCAATGTTTGGTGGTACATTTAAAAATTAAGAAGTGTACTAAAGCATGATTTTCTACAGACAACTGCCCATTTTATCACATGTATTTGTGCCACAGGATGTTGAAAATTGTTTTAGGTGGTATTAGATATGCTTGGTGCTACTCAGGAAATGATGGGATATTATTAGGAATAACTAATTTAAATATCAATTTTTAAATTTCACCCATAAAAAGGCAAGCAGAACCATAATTTGAAAGTTAATATTTCTATACTACATCTCCTGGTGTAACTGGATAGGAATATTACATTACAAGTGGATTGATTAAATTGGGAAGGCTTGAGTTGCAAAACCTGAGCAAGACAGTTGATGACCAAAAGTCTTGGAGGTCTCTTGTTCATAAGGTCACCAGAAATTGCAAGAGACATGACAGAAAATCAGAATAAACAGTTTGTATCAGGCAAAAGAAAGGGGCAGTAAAAGAAAACTACAGTCAGCCCTCCACATTCCCTGAGGTTAGGAGCACAGGACTCCTAATGAAAGGAAAAAAAACATGAGAAATAGGTTAATCAAATCTGTGAAAAATCAAATCTACAAAAGTGAAACCCACAAATGCAGAGGGGTGACTGTAGTATTTCCAGTAGCTCATGCCTTTGCATACCAAATTCAGAAGTAACATCCACTACATTCAGTGGAAGACAGGGCCTTAGTATGCTATAGAAGGCACCATAATATCTTATTGACTTATTTATTTTGTTTATATCCCACCTTTCTCAACCCACAAGGGACCCAAGCAAAATTCAATGCTGCATAAAACATGACAATAAAACATAACCCATCAACAAATAAAACACATACAACAATAAAGAGATTATTAAAGCATATGAAGTGCATAATTTCATTCATCCATAATCCTTGTTCATAATCCTTATTTAGACTGTGTTGAATTCCGTAATATCTTATTCTTCAAACGTCTGTGTACACAGCCAGGTCTTTTGCTTTTTTTCTGAAAACCAGAAGTGATGGGGCCTGCCTGATGTCACTGGGGAGGGAGTTCTACAGCCGAGAGGCCACCACTGAGAAGGCTCTGTCTCTCATCCCCATCAGATGCACCTGCGAAGGGGGTGGGACAAAGAGTAGGGCTTCCCCAGCAGATATTTGAGCTCTAGTTGGCTCATAAGGGAAGATGCGTTTGAACAGGTAACTTGGACCAGAACCATTTAGGGCTTTATAGGCCAAGGCTTTGAATTGGGCTCAGTAGCAGAATGGCAGCCAACGGAGCTGATGCCACAGAGAAGTTGTATGCTATCTGTATACCACTCCAGTAAGGAATCTGGCTGTCGCCCTTAGAAGCTTCTGGGCTATCTTCAAATGCAACCCCACGTAGAGCGTGTTGCAGTAGTCTATACGAGATGTAACAAGAGCATGGACTACTGTGGCCAAGTCTGACTTCCCAAGGTACGGGCGCAACTGGCACACAAGTTTTAATTGTGCACAAGCTCCCCTGGCCACCGCCGAAACCTGGGGTTCCACGCTCAACAATGAGTCCAGGATCACTCCCAAGCTACGAACCTGCATCGTCAGGAGGAGTGCAACCCCATCCAACACAGGCTGTAACCCTGTACCCTGTTTGGGCTTACAACTTCCACCTTGTCTGGATTCAATTTCAATTTGTTCGCCCTCATCCAGACCATCACTGCTGCTAAGCACTGGTTCAGGACCTTAGGCAGGAAATGTTGGAAGCAGAACTGAATGAACCACATGGGCTGCGTTGCTTCTCCTAGGATCCTCCCTGTCCTCCTGTTTGGTGGAGTACATTGTCCTGTTGCCAATGTTGAATTAAATCCAACTTCTAATGTGGTCAGCCTCGGTACGTGCAAAGCCATCTTGTTCTTTGTCTCAGCAACTAAATATCTTGTGCCAGCACTGGTTATTCCAAAGCAAGATATGCAGGATTATATTCTCAGGTTAAAAGAAAGAAAAAAAAAGGGGGCGGGGGAGGGTTTAGAAAGTAAGATTTTCTTTTGAAGTACAAAAGTCAATAGTTTGCACTGAAGTGATGAAATCAGCTAATACTCATAAGTAACTGAAAAAGGAAACTGCAATAGGGAACACTTGCACATTCTTCCATGTAACTTCAGAACATGAGAATATCCCATTCAGAAGTTAAAGAAGATATGTTTGTTCTCAGGAGTAGGTGACCTACTGAACTCCCTACTACTATAGGCAATAATGACCAAAAGAGGCAGTGTAAAAAGTTATTTTTAAAAAAACTAAGTTGGTTCCAGTGGCCATTCAGACTGGAGGATTCTGGAAGCTGTAGACCAGGCATGGGCAAACTTCAGCCATCAGGGTGTTTTGGACTTCAACTCCCATAATCCCTAACAGCCAGTAGGCTAGGTTCTTGTGGGTTTTTTCGGGCTATAGAGCCATGTTCTAGAGGCATTTCTCCTGACGTTTCGCCTGCATCTATGGCAAGCATCCTCAGAGGTTGAGAAGGTCTGTTGGAAGTAGGAAAAATGGGCTTATATATCTGTGGAATGGCTGGGGTGGGGCAAGGAGCTCTTCCCTGCTGCAGTTAGGTGTGAATGTTTAGCTGATCACCTTCATTAGCATTTGAAGGCCTGCCTGAGTCTGGGAAAAATCTGTTGCTGGGAGGTGTTAATCTGTGCCTGGTTTTTTCCTCTCTGTTGTTTAGCTGTTATAATCTTTGAGTTTTTTAATACTGGTAGCCAGATTTTGTTCATTTTCATGGTCTCTTCCTTTCTGTTGAAATTGTCCACATGCTTGTGGATTTCAATGGCTTCTCTGTGTAGTCTGACATGATGGTTGTTGGTGTGGTCCAGCATTTCTGTGTTCTCAAATAATATGCTGTGTCCAGGCTGGTTCATCAGGTGCTCTGCTATGGCTGACTTCTCTGGTTGAAGTAGTCTGCAGTGCCTTTCATGTTCCTTGATGCGTGTCTGGGCGCTGCGTTTGGTGGTCCCTATGTAGACTTGTCCACAGCTGCATGGTATACGGTAGACTCCTGCAGAGGTGAGAGGATCCCTCTTGTCCTTTGCTGAACGTAGCCTAACAGTAGGCTGTTAGGAATTATGAGAGTTGTAGTCCAAAACACCTGGAGACCCGAAGTTTGCCCATGCCTGTTGTAGACCAACAAAATTACATTTCCAAGCACTGAAAAAGACATTGTTATTGAGAATTTCAATGCATCCTCCTTCGTGAGTGTCTCAGAATATTACACCTGTCAAATCTTGTTAAGGCAAATTAATTAATATAGCTGTATGAAGTGATCTAGCTCTTTTAAAGGAACTAGGTCATGCTCTGGAGACAGGAGACTGATCTAGATGGCTCACTGGTTTGATTCAGTTAGACTACTATTGTGTTTACTACTGCCTGTCGGCAGATCACGTGCCAAGAAATACCATTCTTAACATTATATTTCAGACAAGGAGTTGTGTAGAATAATGCTTGTCAGGCTGTGGGGGCCTGCAATTATTTTCTTCTAATGATTCCATACTTGTTCCAAATGGGTACAATTTTTCCCCTGGAACCTTGCCAGGTGCCAGCAGCCAATAGCTCAAGGACTGGCACCAGTCCAGGGACTAACACTTTAAATTCCACAGGTCTAGAAAAGTATAGAGAAGGGGAGTGTGTAGCTGCAAAATAGCCTATCCCCTTGTTGCTTGGCCAACAAGCTGGACTACAACTTCCACAACCCCTAGAGCATGTTGCCTGCAGGTTATGGGAATCATAGTTCAACACTTTTGCAGAGCAGCAGGTGGATGAAGGTTGGCATCAAGGAAAACATACCCAAGCCCCTTGAGAGGAGAGCGGATCTTGCCTTTCGCAAATGGCTACGGCCAAAAGAAAAGATGGGAACCACTTTCTGTTGCATTCCTCCTTATTGATAACTTTTGCTACTTTGGCCACGTTTATTTATTTATATATACATGTGCACGCGCACACACACAACTTTTTATTGAGTACATAGTAAGACAATCTGTGAGTGCATCATCAATGACTGTTGTATGTACAGTATACATTCTAGATGTTGAAGTATTTTTATATGATCTATTCACTTTCTTTACAAAGTTACCGTAATTCTTCTCCCAGGCAGGAAGATATTTAAACCCCACTTGCCTAGTTTTCAACAGACCTCACAATCCCTGAGGAGGCCTGCCATAGATGTGAGCGAAACGTCAGGAGAGAATGCTTCGGGAACATAGCCATGCAGCTTGGAAAACTCACAGTGATTCCAGCCATGAAAGCCTTTGTCAACACATTAGTTATTCTCATTACATTTTAAAAAAATTTTATCTCTCCATACTTATATACTAAAGTTAAG